TTTTTTTTTTTATGTGTAGTGGTGTTATGTTTGTATGTCTGGTGCCCCCAGATGCTTTAAGACGGTGTCAGATCCCCTAGAACTGTAATGACAGATGGCTGAGACAGATAGATGAAGTGAATTGAACCTGGGTCCTCTGGGAGAACAGTCCACGCTCAATCTTAACTGCTGAGTGCTCTCACCAGTCCCTTGTTTGGGAACTTTTGAGATAACATTTCTTGTTAGCTCAGGGTCAGCCTACTCTCAAACTTGATAGGCCAGAAGATGGCCTTGAATTCCTGCTCTTCTACCTCTACCTACCAAAAACTGTGATTACAAGCATGTTCCACCATGCCCTGGTAATAAGTGTATTTTAAAATTTCCATTACATCTTTGAGAAGTTCCTCCAGATCCACCCCATTGCCCTACCCACCAAATTTGCTGTTCTGTCTCCATCCTTTGTAAAGCTCACCAAAACCAATGTGTGTGCCCATATACTCTTGGCTGTGTGGCGTTCCAGTGAAGCAGGCACTACATATTAAAGCGATGATTCCCCTTCTCCCAGCAGCTGTCAAGTGCCAATAGCTCCTTGAAGTATTTATATCGTAGTATACTTTTTTTTTTCAAGACAGAGTTTCTCTGTATAGCCCTGGCTGTTCCTGGAACTTGCTCTTGTAGACCAACTCAGAGATCTCTAACTGAGAGATCTGCTGCCTCTGTTCCCAGAGTTCTGGGATTATAGACATGTTTCACCCCTGACTGGCAATAAAACATTCTCTGAAATACATTTTTTTTTTGAGGGTGAACGTTCATGTAGAGGCGAAGTTCATCACTGAATACCTTTCTCAAATTTGGTAGTTTTAGTATTAATATTTCTGTAAATGCATGTGTACAGGTATGTACACCTGTGCAAACACTGAGGTCAGAAGAGGACATCAATGGCTTCCTCTGTCATCTACTACCTATTATGTTGAAGGAGTCCTTCTCCCTCAACCTGGGCTTCCAGTTTTCTCTGAGAGGTTCGAAGCCATTGTAAGCCCCAGTGAACATCCACCCTCCCCCTACCCCCTTGAAGCTGGGTGCGCAGGCATGTGCAGGGTACCCAGTTTGTCACATGGGTGTTGAGACACTCTGGTCCTCCTGAGCCATCTCTCCAGCCCCAATTCCAAAAGAATATGGCAAGCCATGTATGTAAGAGCATTTGGGAGGCTGAGATAGGAAGTTGCCGAGCTCAGAACCAACCTATGATACACAACAAGACTGTCTCAAAATAAAATAAAAAAAAAATTTAAGGTGAAAAAATGTTTCAAGCCGGGCAGTGGTGGCACATGCCTTTAATCCCAGCTCTTGGGAGGCAGAGGCAGGTGGATTTCTGAGTTCGAGGCCAGCCTGGTCTACAGAGTGAGTTCCAGGACAGCCAAGGCTATACAGAGAGACCCTGTCTCGAAAAACCAAAAGAAAAAAAGAAAGAAAAAGAAAAAAAAGAAAAAAGAAAAAAAGAAAAAAAATGTTTCAAGGATGTAGCAACCAAATGACCTCCAAAATGGAGACAGAAGGGTAATTGGTAAGCACAGTATGAGAGTAGTGGTCAGCCTCTACTTCCTGGTCTTTGCTACCAGCCTAGCAAATGCTCTAGCATTTTGAATACACAGGTGGGCTTAAATAGGCAAAGCCCCACATGATTTACTAGCACAAAGGTTATTTTAAAACCTACAACTGTCTGTGGGAAATGAGCTGGAAGTTTGTGACAGAAATGAAATTAGTCCAAACACCAGTCCCTGAGACTATTAATGAAACTCTGTTGTGCTTGCAGACAGGAGTCTAGCATGGCTGTCCTCTGAGAGACTCCACGCTGCAGCTGACTCAGAGGGAGGCAAAGACCCACAGCCAAACATCAGACGGAGCTTGGGGACTCTTATGGAAGAGCTGGGGCAAGGATTGAGGGCCTCAGAGGGAATAGGAACTCCACAGGAAAATCAAGAGTCAACTAACCTTGACTCTTGGGGCTCTCAGAGACTGAACCACCAACCAAAGAGCATACATAGGCAGGACCTAGCCCCTCTGCCACCTCCAGCTCGCGCACGCGCGCACCCCCCCCCCCCCACACACACAGAGCAGATGTGGTACTAAATGAGGGTCCCGAACAATTGGAGTAGAAATTATCCCAAATGCTGCTGCCCAGCTGTGGAATTCGTTTCTTCTAGCTAGGCTGCCTTGTCTGGATTCAGTGGGAGAAGATGAGCCCTGCCCTGTGCCAGGGTGGCGGGGGGGGGAGGGGGGGGGGAGTGGTGGATAACCAGAGAGGGCCTCTACCCTTTCAGAGGAACAGGGAAGGAGGGGTTGCGGAAACCCGGAGACGGGACGCGATGGGGAAGTAAAGTGTATAAATAAAAATTAAAAAATAAATTTTACAATCATAAAAAAAGAAACTACATTTCCAGCGGCCCGACTGAGCCAGGCTACGTAACAAACCATTTTAAAATATGGAAGGTGACCCAGAAGGTCCTCCTCTCATGGGATGTGGCAGGGGACACCAACTGTGACTACTCAGTTAACAGAAGATTCATTTGTATTGCACTAGTACAGTAGCGCGACTGGGGAAGCAAACAGACTTTGACAAAGACGCCTGCGTTTCCTTCCCTAAGCTCCGACCAGCTCAGCTAAAAAGTACATTCCCAACTACGTCTGCGCGCGCCACACTTCCGGGGCGGGGCGCAACCGCGGTCTGTTTCCACTGCGTCTGCGATTTGGATGAAGTTCGCGGGACCTGCCACCGGAAGCCAGGCTTCTACTTCCGGGTCAGAGCCATGGCGGTGGCAAATTCAAGTCCAGTCAATCCAGTGGTCTTCTTTGATGTCAGCATTGGCGGCCAGGTGAGGTGCGGGAGGTCTAGCAGGCCTGTGCGGGCTGGCTGGACTCGGGTAAGGGAGGCAGCCGAGGGGCCCCTGCTAGCCCTCCCGAGACAGGTTAGGCCAGGCGGCGGAGGTGGGAGCTTCCGAGCTGCGTGGGCAGCGGTGGTGGGCTGAGTATTGCGTCTCCCGTTTCTTGCAGGAAGTTGGTCGCATGAAGATCGAGCTCTTTGCAGACGTTGTGCCTAAGACGGCAGAGAACTTTAGGTAAGGCTATGCTCCAAGTAAATCAGAGCTGACCCCGAAGCCGGCCTCTGGTCAATCTTTGTCATATCTGCCTCTATCCATCTATTCATTGCCTTGGAGCTCTGTGCTCTGGGTATTGCACTGGCTAAATAGCTACCGATTTTGACCGATCCCATATCAACTTATATCACTAGTCTACATGCCCTGACATCCACCGGATCAGTTAGTGGACATGCTTTCTCCAGTGTTTGAACTCTCCTCTCCAGAGATTAGAGGTGCTCCAAGCAGTGATGTGCAGCGGCTGAATCCTTCGCTCTTTCTTTCCTTTTAGGCAATTCTGCACTGGAGAGTTCAGGTCAGTCTCAGATGTGTTTGACTTCTCCGCCTACTCCTGAAGGGTACCCTGGACGTTTGGTGAGGGTATTGGGGAACCATGAACAGGTCTTGAGTGGTGGAAGATGATGTGCAGAGAGAGAGAGTGACTCCTTGGATGTGTTCTTCTCCCATCCAGATCTTAATGAGAGTCCTTTTAGCCTCTAGTGTATCCTAAATGGGAAAGACCCATGATTATTTTTCATCATTCCAAGTCTCTTTCTTTTCGTTTACAGAAAAGATGGCGTTCCGATAGGATACAAAGGTAGCACCTTCCACAGGTAAGGAAGGTTTTTGGCAAACTGGAAATGCAGTCATCCCTTCGTATCCGTACAGGCAGCCCTGTACACCTGAGTACAAAACCTGTGGAGGATTAAGTCTGTTGTTTTAAATGGCATGTTCAGGCTGAGGCTGTAGCTTGGTGGTAAAGAATTTGCCCTGTATTCATTAGGCCCTGGATTCAGTACTCAGCACCACGTAGCCTGTGCACAGCGCCTTGAGTCATCCCTGACTTTATGTAACACTGCACTGTAGAGACAAAGCCAAGGAAAGCACTGGCCACGTGCTCTGCATCCAGCAGTCAGTGTTACCCGGCAGTTTTCTGTAGGATCCTGGCCTTCATGATCTCCTGGCTTTCTATGTTTACTTATTTTTGTTAGAGTTTGACGGAAGTTGCTTCATTTTAATCCTGAAAATGTCCATGTCTCCCATTTTAAGGGCTTCAGAGCTAGAGTCTGTAATCTTCCCTGGCATTCTTGTGAGGTAGTATGTGTTTTCTGAGAAAAGGAAAACCGAGGCCCATACCTGGGTATACCAGCTAATACCGTTGAGGTTTTGTGTGTGCAGTAGTGCATTCACAGAGATTTGCTGTTGTTCTTTTCCTCCAACTGGCATTAAGCCCTTGACATATTTTTGGGGTGATTTTTTTTTTCATTTTTGTTTTTTGCTTTGGTGACTGTGTTGATGATTCTTCCCTGCCAGGTTTCAGCCCCTTTCTGTTGTTCAAGTGCTGACTCATACACCTAAGATTAACTCAGAGGTGCCCCTGAGTTAACCCTGTGCTTGCTCACCCTCTTCTAGGCCTCAGTGATAAACACTGAACTCCAGAATAAATACTAATCTACCATCTCAGTGACTGAACCACTGAATCTTTCCTCAGGACTCTTTTTTTTTTTTTTTTTTTTTTAAACTCTGTTTCAGGGTCATAAAGGATTTTATGATTCAGGGTGGAGATTTTGTGAATGTAAGTACTGCTTCTTTGTTATTTTTCCCAGCAGGCCGCAGTCTTGAAATTTAAGAATAGCTAAGTTAAGTGGCGAGAGCATGACATGGGGAGGTACTGTAGAATTGCTCGCTACCACTGCCTGTGTCCTTAGAACACATAGCAATACTCACCTTGAACCATAAGCTTCCATTGTCCAAACCCTAGCTTTTTGTAACTAGAAACTGGACTTTACTGGTGATCAAGACAATCCACATTCATTGTTCACAGGAAACTTTGAAATTGGCTGCAGTTTTCCCACAAAAGAAAGGGAGCTGACTGCTCTGCCTCCCACTTCTACTTCCTCTTTTGCTGTCACTGTCTAAACACTCTATAGTTTGTGTTTGATTGTTTTTTGTGGGTCTTTCTTTCTCTTTTCCTTTTGAAAGCTAAGGTTTTAATCACAAGCTGGTTAGCCAGCAAGGGATCAGATCAGGAGAGACAGGAAGATTAAGGGGTGTTTGCTCTGCTTGCTGAGGTAGCCCAGCAGATCCATTCTGCACAAAGAAGACGATGACTTGTTTGTGGCCACACTATTTGTGTCTCCATCCTAGCCTTGGAGTGTGGTCAGTAAGCTAGAATATTTTTTCCTTTCCTTTCTTTCTTTCTTTCCTTTCTTTCTTTCTTTCTTTTTTCTTTTTTTGGTTTTTCGAGACAGGGTTTCTCTGTATAGCCCTGGCTGTCCTGGAACTCACTCTGTAGACCAGGCTGGCCTCGAACTCAGAAATCCGCCTGCTTCTGCCTCCCAAGTGCTGGGATTAAAGGTGTGCGCCACCACCGCCAGGCTTGCATGCTATTTCTTTACTGTTAACATTGTTTACGTGGGTATGTTACTAATTCCTTTTGTCTGAGAGATGTTCTTACTCCATTAAATGTAAATTTAGTTAGATTTGTATGAGTCTTTAAAGATGTTTTTATTTATTTATTTATCTTATGTATGAGTAAGTACCCTGTTACTGTCTTCAGATACTCCAGAAGAGGGCATCGGATCCCATTACAGATGGTTGTAAGCCACCTTGTGGTTGCTGGGACTTGAACCCAGGACCTCTGGAAGAGCAATCAGTGCTCTTAACCGCTGAGCCATCTCTCCAACCCAGCTTTAAAGATCTTAACTCCTACACACGGTTGCAATGGCAGGTTTTGGGATGAATCCTGCTTTCACTTAGGCTGCCTTTCAGCTATGTGGTACTCCTGGGAAATCTGGGGAGCTGGAGAGATGGCTCAGCACTTAAGAACACTGCTGACTCTTCAGAAGACCCAGGTTTGATTCCCAGCACCTACATAGCCATCTGTAACTCTAGCTTCATGAATCTGAAAAGCAGTAAGAAGGAGTACACAGGAGGGTTTGAGGGCAGAAAGGGAAGGGGCAGTGATGTGATTATAATCCCAAAAATATAAAATAAAAATTTAAATAATAAAAGGTGAATTTTAAAAAGAAAAGAAAAAGCAAGGCTTAAAGTGCAACAGTGTTCCTCCATGCATCCAGTGTGTGTGTGTGTGCGTGTGCGTGTGTGCTTGAGAGCATGCTCGGATACAAGCCCAGGGATGTATAGGCTTACTGCCTCGAGGCAGGGTTTCACTAGATGAAAGCTGCTTGATTCAGCTAGGACAGCTGGCTGGCTACCTACCCTTACCCACTGGACCATTCTCCTTGGCATTATCATCTGGTTTCCAGGGTGCCCAGCATCCCATGCCACTGATACGTCTCTTCTCTCTCAGGGCGATGGTACTGGAGTCGCCAGTATTTACCGGGGTCCATTTGCAGATGAAAATTTTAAACTTAGACACTCGGCTCCAGGCCTGCTTTCCATGGTAAGTGGGGTTCAGTTAAGACTTGGGGTTAGATTAATGGCTGGTTTCTGGTGTCTTGTTGAGGCCCATCTCTATCGCTTGGAATCAGGCCTCACCTGCACCGAGCCCCTCCACCTTCTTTAGTACGGTTTGATTTTATTGGGTGGGTTTTAACAGCTATAGAAACCAAACTGAGCTCTGACTTATGTTGTGCTTTTATTTGCACCAAGACTTGGCTTTTAGTCTCATGTTCAGCATGCTTCCAAGGCTGGTGCTCACCTGCTTGTTGCCCTGGTTGCTGTGATTCACTTGCCGCCGTAGCTGCATCCTGACCACGCACCTGCTTTTCTCACTTTCCATGCTCATCGTTGCTATCCCCACATCCTGATATCTCTCCCCCACTCCTGACCCCTGCTCAGACCCCTCCATCCAGCCCACCTCTGCTCATTGCTTGCCCACCTCACCTTCTCACTCTTCCTCCTCCTTTCCCTTACTCACCCCTCTCGCCCTTGCTACCCATCTCGTTATCGGTGCCCCAGTCCTTACCTCCGTGGCCCAGTATTTACATGGCTGTTCTCTCTCCTGCTCACCTACTCTGTACTCATCTTCTCTTTGCAGCTTTTTATTTATTCTTTTTGTTTTGTTTTGAGGCAGGATCTGACTATGTAACTGACTGGCATGAAACTTGTATATAGACAAGGCTGGCTTCAAACTCAAATAGTTCTACCTGCCTCTATGTCCTGAGGGCCACCACACCCAGCTTATTTATTATTATTGTGAGTTTATGTGTGTGCATGATGTTGAGGTTGTCTATTTCCAGTGTGTGGGTATGTGGAGGTCAAAGGACAACTTTTGGAAGTCAGTTCTCTCCTCTCCTTTACATGGATTCTACGGGTTAAGCTCAGGTTGTCAGGCTTACAGAGCAATCCCCTTTACCCTCTGACCCTCTGGCCAGCCCCTCAGCCCTCTTTCTGCTTTTTCCTTTGAGGCAGGCTCCCACTCCATTTCTCTCTATCTATCTATCTCTCTCTCTCTCTCTCTCTCTCTCTCTCTCTTTTTGTTGTTGTTGTTTTGTTTTTGTTTTTTCGAGACAGGGTTTCTCTGTGTAGCCCTGGCTGTCCTGGAACTCACTCTGTAGACCAGGCTGGCCTCGAACTCAGAAATCCGCCTGCCTCTGCCTCCCAAGTGCTGGGATTAAAGACGTGCACCACCACTGCCTGGCTCCAACTCCATTTCTTTTTTTTTTTTTGGTTTTTCGAGACAGGGTTTCTCTGTATAGCCCTGGCTGTCCTGGAACTCACTCTGTAGACCAGGCTGGCCTCGAACTCAGAAATCTGCCTGCCTCTGCCTCCCAAGTGCTGGGATTAAAGGCGTGCGCCACCACCGCCCGGCTTTCCAACTCCATTTCTTAAGATGGCCTTGAAGTCATTCTGTATCCCAGGGAAATTCTCAGCTCAACAGTCCTCCTGCCGCAGCCTCCAAAGGAGTTGGGTTTACAGGCCTGCACCAGAACTTTCTGTAGAGTAGTTTTATCTTAGCTTCCTTCTCCTTGTGAGTTCTTCAAAGGCAGGGACAGATTGCTTGATCTCAAGGCCCTCTCACCTGCCACACAGAGACGCAGAGGAGTGACAGAATAGTTACGAGAATGACAGCCAAAAGCTATTGGGTACTCACAGCACCTTACCTGCATTAATTCATTTTAATACTGAGCCTCTATTTGAGATAATGAGCACACTGATACGCAGGCAGGTTGCATCAGTGAACTAAGATCACACAGCCACTGGTGGAGTTCTGGGGTTCAATCTCTGTCACCTGCTGCAGGGCTATTCCCTGAACATAAGCTACACCACCAGAAAGGAAGAGTAAACATGTGTTCACAGGAACAGAGGGAGGGTCCCTGAGCCACACAGATGTGTTGTATGACTGTTACTGTGTCTGTTTGCTAGCAAATGATTCTTTAAGAACCCCAGAGTAGAGGAAGATGGAATGTGGGCCCTGCAAATTGTGCCCCTTCCAGAGCAGGAGTCTACTCTAGCTGGCTTGTGGCAGGCAGGAGGGAGTTCTTCTTTCATAAATGAGATGCTCAGGAATACGTGTGCAAACATCACGGCTTTCTTTTGAGACATGATCTCACTGTGTAGCCCTGACTGACCTGGAAGCTCCATTGATCAAACTGGCCTCAGTCCTCTCCTGCTTCTGTCTCCTGAATGGTTAGATTATTAGTATGTGTGAGGACCCAGGTTCAATTCCCAGCATGGTTAAAGAAAAGAAAGATCAAAGGGACTTCCAAAGTGTAGTATACAATCTCAGATTAGAGGTGACCGGAGACATCCACTGCTTCACGCTTAAACATAGAACTGGCCATTTCAGATTCATTATGCATCTGATTAAAGCTGGTGCCCCATTCAGTGTAAGTTCTGCTCTTGCCTTAGTGGTGTTCTGTAAAACCTGTCCTGTCAATACCCCACCCCCAGGCTGCCATTGAAGTCTCCACAGTAGTGTTCTGTGAAACCTATTCCTCACCACCAGGATGGCCTTGAACTTGTGGTTGTCTTCCTCAGTCTCAGAATTTTGGGATTATAGTCATGGGCGCCTATGCCCAGCTTTGTATGTCTTTGAGTGATAGCATTTTCACTTTTCTAGTTCCTGTCTCTTTTCCCCCCAAAATCTTCATGTAGTTACATGGACACTGTTGTAAGGCAGCACTGCAGGCGTTCAACATGGTTTTGAGGTATGACAGTGGGTTTAGCAAAAGGCAGTAAAGATCACAGCCTGTTCTTTTATACTGTGTTATTGAGTACATTAGTGTAAAGATTATTTTGAAACTGGACATGGTGCATATGCTTTGTCTCTGTGCTTGCAAGGCTGAGGCAAAAGGATCTTGAGTTGAGGGCAGTTCTTCTTCTGTGTAACCCTGGCTGTCCTGGAACTCACTCTGTAGACCAGGCTGGCCTCGAACTCAGAAATCCGCCTGCCTCTGCCTCCCAAGTGCTGGGATTAAAGGCGTGCGCCACCACCGCCCGGCTAAGTTGAGGGCAGTTCTATTCTGTCTCAGGACTGGGCATATAGTCAGTGCTAGAGTGTTGCCCAATGTGTGTGAGGCTGAAGTACCACAAAAAAGGGAGACTATGAGCTACACTGTCGTGGTAGCTCATTCTTAGAATTCTAAAACTCAGGAGGCTGATCTCTACAAGTTTGATGGTTTGGTGCCAGCCTGGGCTACAGAAGTGAGACCCTGTTTGTTGGGAGGAGGAGGGAACAAAACAAAATGAGCCTGCCTATGAACAGAGTTTCTAGGAAAGAAAGGGAAAGAGATGTGGCTACAAAGTTTGAGATTCTCAGCAGGGCTGGGGTGGGACTCAGTTGCATGAGTGCCCAAGCAGCTTTCGGAAGCCCTGGGTTGGTTTCCAGAACTGCATAAAATAAACATGGTGTTTAAGCCAGCACTGAGGTGGGAGGATCAGGACTGTGTAGAGTTCCAGAACAGGTTAGGTTACATGAGACCTTGTTTCAACCCCCTCTCCCCTCAGTAAAGAGAAGTAAAATTCAGCAGTGAAAGATTTGGGACAGTGCAGGGGCTGGAAAGATGGCTCAGTGGTGAGGTCACTTCTGTTCTTACAGAGGACCCAAGTTTGGTTCCCAGCACCACAGGCTGCTAACAACTGCTACCGAGGATCCTGTATGAATGTGGTCCACATAAAAGTTACCACAGGCACACACATATACAAGCAAATAAATTTTAATGCATAGCAAAAACAGCTGGTTTCACAGGTAATGTGTCTCCTCTTACCTGGTGACTAATTTGTAAGTATAGTCCAGTTGTAACTAATTTGCAACTAACTACATTAAGTCCTGTAAAGAGGGAAAGGGGTGTGGTAAGATAACTCAGCAAGTAAAGAGAAGGGATAAAGGCACCTGCTGCACACACCTGAGAACCTGAGGTCAGTCCTAGCCCCATGTTGGCGTGGAAGTGGAGAACTAACTCCACATAGCATTTTCTAATTTCATACACCAGGTACATGTACAAAAGCGCGCATACATACACACACACACACACACACACACAATTTTTAAAAGAACCAGGGTGGTGGTGCACACCTTTAATCCCAGTGCTTGGGACACACAGGCAGGCGGATCCCTGAGGTCAAGGCCAGCATGGTTTGCCAGTCAGACATTACAGAGCTAGTTCCAGGATAGCCAGAGCTATACAGAGAAAACTTGTCTCAAAAACAAAAAAGAAAGAAGGGAAGAGGGGAAAAATGGAGGGACTCATTTGAGGAAAAGTAAAGGCACCAGCTAGAGAGGTGAGAGAGTCTAGGGGAAGAGAATAAATAACAGAATATTATATATAACATAGTATGTATTATTATATAATATAGATTTAATATATATACATACATATTTTATATGCTATATATTTGCCATAATTAAAGCCATTACCTTATATGCTAACCTAAAAACTTAAGTAAATCTTATGTTTGCTTGTTTTAGATGAACAGTCATTCCTATTACCTTACATTGGGGCTCAGTGGGAAAAGTGCTTATCACCCAGTCTGATGTCCTGAGTTCAATCCCCAGGACCCATGTGATGGAAGGAGAGACCTGACTCCTACAAAACTTGACACTAAGATTGTGCATTGATTAAAGAAGGTAGATTCTCAGGATTGGAGATTCTGCGTCTGTTCATCCTGTGTCCTTGTCTAGGCCTGGGCTCATAATAGGTGCTCGGTTAGGTTGTAGTTAGAGCTTCAGACTTTGTGGGAAATCATCTACAATGGCCAGAGAAACTTAATGTAGGTATATTTTGTTTCTATCAGGCAAACAGTGGTCCCAGTACAAATGGCTGCCAGTTCTTTATCACGTGTTCTAAGTGTGATTGGCTGGATGGAAAGCATGTAGTGTTTGGTAAGTCTTATTCCTGTTCCATCGTCTCAGTCACTTGGGCCTGTCACAGGATCCAGTCTCCACACCCACTGGATGTTCTCAGCTGCTCTAGCTGCTCTAGGCTAGGGCATGTGGACATGGTGGGGATGGTAAGACAGATGGACATGGTGGGGATGGCTGGACAGATGGACATGGGGGTTGGCTAGAACTCAGGGGAAAGGCAAGAGTATCCGATTAAATACTCATGAAATAAACAATAAAGAAATGCCCCAGAGGTAGCATGGAGGAGTGGGGTTTTGGGGTCACTTATATTCAAGCCTGTACCCTAGTTCATATAATATACCTGTGTTCATATAATATACCTAGTTCATAGAATATACCTGTGTATATTCCCTGTGACTTTGGGTGAGTCAGCTCACCACACTGAACCTCAGTTTCCTTATATTGTAAGGGGATCTGATGAGATGCTAAGTGAACATGGGCTCTGAAAAACACTGTGCCCGCACCAAGAAGGGAGCCTTACTTAATGTTCTTCTGCAGGAAAAATCATTGATGGACTTCTAGTGATGAGGAAGATTGAGGTAGGTCCTGATGGGTGTCCTCTGAGTCTTTGTGGTCAGGTGTCTCATGCCTATTAATGAGAAGCCCGTTTTCTAGACTGCCTGTCACCGTTCACAGTTCCAGGCTCCTTTGGGAAAGAGAGGTCAAGTTGGACCTATTCATTAACCTGCCCAGCACTTACTGGGGCTTTGGCGCTCTGATCCTGATGCCCACTGAATAAAATTCCACTTCTTGGCCTTGCAATCAGAATCTTTTATGCCCTGTACCCTGCCTGTCCCTCCATGATCCCTTCTGCCACTGTCTCCTCTGGTCCAGTGGCATCAAGCTCCTGGTTCTTCTCTCAGGAGGCCTGCAGATGCGTGTTTCCTGCTCTTCGCACCCCAGGCCTTGGCTCCAATGCTTCTCTTACCTAAAGAAATCTTTCTTGGGATCCTACCTACCCTCCAGGGCCCAGTTCAGATGCTCCCTGTTCTGTGGCTCCCCCTCCGTAAGCTGGGTCCCTTCATTGTTCTTCAGTGTTACCAGCTGATCCCATTGTGGGACTATGGCCTCTCAGTGTTCCTTTTCTCTTTGATCTGTTATATTTTACTGTCTGTCAGGACACACTCCTCACATCAGTCTGATCTTGGGCCTTTCCATAGGTGATGATAGGTTCCATGAGGCACTGGGCAAGTGCCTGAGTGCATTTCATGGTCTTGTGCTTTGTTTTCTAGAATGTTCCCACAGGCCCCAACAACAAGCCCAAACTGCCAGTGGTGATCTCACAGTGTGGGGAAATGTAATCTAGACAAGATGGAACCAGGTAAGTGTTCTCTTCTTCCTGGCTAGAAAGGAATCATGGCTTGAGGGAGACTTTCCACTCAGAGATGTGGACTGAGTCCATTTCCTCTGCATGTGTGCTGGGAGCAGGCACTCCTTCAGAGCAAGTTTTCTCACCTGTCAGGAGAGGATGTCAACCTTAGGTCATTGTGAGAAACAGAAAAGGATGGACACTGGAAATAGTCCCCTTTTTTCCACTGCTTCCTACAGTGTCACCCTGAAAAGGACCTGATTTCCTTGCACTGGGAAACCTAGGGAGCCAGGAGGCATGTGCTGTGCTATCCTCAGAACCGACACTGGTGTCCAGGCTTGGAACCTTGCATGCTGTATTCACAGGGGCCCTTTCTCCTAATATTTGCCACTGGCTGCTTTCCACTGGGGCTTTCTGGAAAAGAATTGAAAGGCACTCCCGGGAGAGAAGTCACGTTCTTGGAGGTGAAGGCTAATAATACAAGTGACTTGTGTGCTAGAGCACACTGGGAAAATGGGTCCCTCCATCTCTGGGAGGAGCTGTGGCATTTTGTTTGCCTTTTAATTTTTTTTTTTTTAAACCTACAGAAATGTTCGGAAAATGTGGATTAATCACCTACAAGCTTGCAGCTCAGGTGACCAGTGATGACATTTGTTGTGGACATGCTATATTCCTCCCTCCGTTCCCATGCCACATCCTCTCCTTAACTTCCGGCCTTAGTGCTTTTGGTTCCCATTCCCAAACTTCAGACCTCTCAACATTTCATCCCTGAGCACTTCAGGAGGAGCCCTAAAAGTGAGAGTCTCCTAAATAAACAAAATGATATTTGTATACATGGTACATATTACAGACTAACTTTTTAAGTCATACAAATTTTATTTGTAGTGCTGGGGACTGAATCCACTTTGTGCATTCAAGCAAAGTACACTACCACTGAGCTGCACCCTCAGTCCCACTCACACACACTCGTGTGTAGACACACACACCCTGGCCAGGCATGTTGGTGTACTCCTCTACTCCCAGCTAATTGAAAGGCTGAGGCAGGAGGATCACCTGAGAAGGTTTAGAGAACAGCATGTGCTGTTCACCAGAGTCCTTGTATTTTCTTGTTTGTTTTCGTATGTATAAGAGTTTTCCCTGCATGTCCATTTGTGTAACACTTGTATGCCTGGTGTCCACAGAAGCCAGAAGACATTAGATCTCCTGGAGTTATAAGTGTTTGTCGGCCATTGTGTGAGTGTTGGTACTTGAACCTGGGTCCTCTGTAAGAACAACAAGTGCTCTTAATCACTGAGACGTCTCTCCAGCCCCTGCTTGTTTATTTTTAACTGAAGAAGTAGCACAATACAATTTCCATGTGAAAACTTTTAACACCAAAGTAAATGATGTAGAAGCTGCTCTTCTTCCCAGAAGTCACTTACTTGTCAGTGAGGTGTGTTCACCTTTTCTTTGTCAATCTCTTATGGGGATGAGTGTTTTTCTTAAATGACATCATGCAGTAGTATTCCCCTTGCTTTTCCCCTCTTTTTCTTATACCGTCTGGGTCGGGGTGTGTGCATTTGAGTTCATATACCTCCTTAGACTTGTCCTAGGGGTTGTCAGCAGCTTAGTGTGAGTGAGTACTGGCTCCTCTGTAAGAATGTAAGTGCCTCTAACCACTGAACCATCTCTCCACCCATACCTAGTTCTTTGCCTCAGCCTTCTTATTGCTGAGAAAATATCACCACACCTAGCTAGACATGGTGGAGCACACCTCCAGTCCCAGCACTTGGGAGGCAGAGGCAGGCAGATCTCTGAGTGTCAGGCCAGCCTGGTCTACAGAGCAAGTTCCAGGACAGCCAGAGCTACAAACATGCACAAAAGAAAAGTTTTTAAATTTTTAGCTGAGTGTGGTACTACACATCTGTAATTCTGTAATCCCAGCCAGGGAGAGATGGATGAGAGTCTGACAGGATTAAGGACTGTCTGGACTTTAGAATGAGTTCAAGGCTAGCCTGGCAACTTAGTGAGACCCTGTGTAAGAGAGGGCAGATGATGAAGTCTGCTCATGGGGCTAATAAAGGTTCTGGCTACCAAGCTTGTAGACCTGAGTTTGATCCCCAAGACCACATGGAGGAAAGAGAGAACTGACTCCTGCTAATTGTTCTCTGACATGTGTTGTGGCTTCGAACATCCATATGTGAATGTGCAAAATAAACAAATAAAATTTTGTATAGGGGCTGGATGTGGAGGGTTATACTTACAATCTCAGCATGTGGAGGCTAAGGTTAGATTGCCCCAAGTTCAAGGCAAGCCAGGGCAGCAGCTTCTTGGCTTCCAGTGAAAAAGAAGCTGAGGTGCTGCTCCGGAATGCAATACATCCACAGGGTAAAGTGGGACTTCTGGTTTCTTTGGAAAGTCAGTTATGTCAAATGGTGTTTTGCT